TTGTATAGTTAAAGAAAATATGACGTCTTATTCAGTATAACTACGTCATATTCAAATTATAATATATAGACGTAATTTATTTCATAGTTAATACATATCATAAAACGATCAGTACCTATACTTATAATGTTAATAGATTCCATGAGACTTAGTGGGTATTTTTAGCTTGTTCATTCAACCCCTCTAATTTTAACTTTAGAGTACTTATAGTTCATACTGTCACCCTTTCATTTCAGCTCACGAAAAAAGTACCTTTATACTTTTCGTTTATTTATATGTTAGCATTGGTTACACAATATTTTGTTAGATATTATAGTTAGTAGAAATATAATTACACGTATTATATCTATGCACAAATGTATATTTTACAAAAATCAAATCTTTGGCATGATGAGCAACGCCAGGCGMGATAGTAAAATTATGATAGTAAATAATCGTTACACAACACAATATCAGGAATTTTATATTGAACTTGGTATTTGGCAGAAACTGATCACCAGATTCCGAGGTCCGTAAAAGGTCCTTACGTTGCCAAAGGAAGAAATCAAGTAGTGCGCCCGCCGCCACGAACCAAAACTACAACTACAGGTGTGTCGCGTGCTGCTTTGAAGTACGAGGCATCGGACCACATAAAACGATTGGCCAAGCACCGCCCAATGCCGAAAGCGGATGACCAAAATAAGTACTTCTCTGTTAAACCATTATCACTTGTTTACAAGCCATCGCTCCGTATTCAACAACTCTCCAAACCCCGGATTCGTGAAGAGAAAATGTGATCATCGCATATTAAAAATAATTAAAATGTATAATATTGGCGAAAACAAATTCAAAATTTATCAAAAAAAAAATTTCCAAACAGCTCTATTTCAATTTAAACTTTAAACATAGGTATCAAAGCAAATTGAAAAGAAGGATAGTATGGTGTAAATTTAACATATCAACCGACAAATTCGCTACTTATTATACAGTGTAATATGTACCTATCATAAAGTATTCCTCCGTTGGGTATTAATCTACATCACTTAAATCGTATCATTCAATATACCAGGATTAGRCAGCGTTTTAAAGTTACTGACACGCAATACTGACATTAAAATAATTTTAAGAATAAAAAATTTTAAAAACGATAACCATACAAAAGGGTTATTTATATGTATACAACATAAATAAATACATACAATTAGGGTTTTCATACCTATCACATAATTATTTTAATGGAAAAGTAATTTTTATTTTAAATTCATAATTTTAAGCAGAATATTTCAGGTAGTTCCTAGAAATGTTAATATATTACACTAATACCAAATATAGGACTAACAGTTTTTAATACAAATAAACATATAAAGTTAAGACGAGTATTATTTTAATTTTGTTTGTTGTTCAGGCAAAGATATTTGTTTACACATCCATGAGATTGTAAGTTGTTAATATATATATATATATATATATATGTATGTATCTGAAATCAGAATAACAAATAAAATTTCGTTGTCAGTATCGTTTTGATTTCACGGCCGATCGTACAAAAAAAGCGTTGTTTGTGTYACATAATAATGTATTGTAATATTCGTAAATGATCAGCATAATATTATATTTATTTTGTTTTCTAAAATCACAGAAAAAGCCTAGTAAGATTATTTGAATTTCATAATAATAATTTAAATTTTCCAATTTTAACATTATATCATTACCTTACAGTACCGACGCACCTATCAACACATAGGTAATGTTATATTATTAAACGGAGTTATGTACACGTTGTATGTGTGAGTGTCTATGCAAAGTGGAGTAATCTGATTTCAATTATTAAAGATACGATCTATTTTTTTAATTTTTTTTTTATATTATTCTGAATAAGCAGCAACATAATATATAGGTATCTATATAATGTTTTTTTTGTACGTGATTAATATGTAATTTACGCGTGCATATTAATAATTAAGAAAAGCGAAAATTGTAGTTAATTAGTTACAACGTCTTATACCGACGTAATTATATTTGTATTTCCTGTACAATCTGGTCATACACGTATAGTTGGTTTGTAATATAGTCTAAGTATATCATATATTCATTTAATATGTAGTATGTACCTTCTATATAGATTTTTATTCGACCACCATGTACACTGTAATTATTGTTACATTGTATTTATATTTTATATACGTAATCGAACTATATGAATAATCATATATGCGCACACATTTAATAAAATACAACATATAAATACAACAAAAAACGTACTAGTTATATAATTGAACAATAAAATATCAGATTTTTTGSTATAGTAGACTACACGCCTATGCGTGTATAATAATATAAAAGTTGCAGTACATGTTTAACAAGTGATAAGGTGAGTAATATAATATCGTAGTAAATGTGATTTTTTTTTAATTTGATGCACATAAAGGTATCTTCGCGTGTATATTTTTTCATCTCAACACGTGTTATTAAATTTGATCATAAAAATTTATTCCAATAAATTATGATGATAAAAACTCGAGCAACCTAATCATCTGTATACTGTATAATACACTAAATGGATGATGTGATTTTATTGCACGAAAAGATTGCAGTTTAATTCATATTTTTCTCATAACYCATTTTTGTTTTTATTCTCGTGTTCGAATATACTTCCTACCTATTGAATATGAGCATACGGCATACTTATATAGATAATAATAATAATAATATACCTAATGATAAATCCTTAGTGGATCTGTTACTACTATAGAAGGTATAGTCAGGCAGTCTGCAGTGGCGTATTTAGAAATTTGATGCCCTGAGCAGGGGCGCGCCCATGAATTTGGATGGGGGGATGTCATAAATAAAAATGTATTATTTTCAATCTTTATTATTACACAAAAAAAATAAAAATTAGAGATCTAAAATTCAGTCATGTTTGAAAACTAAATAAAGGTCCATGGGAGGATATATCTCACATCATCCCCTCTTGCGTACGCCACTGGCCCTGGCTACATATAATTTGTTGCCTCCAAAATTGAAACACTCATTTACCTTTTTTTTTATGATACTTAAAAAATATTTCGAGATTCAAAAATAACAACATTATCATGCATACATTTATAACTATATAGGTACCTATAGAAGAATAAAATATAATATAATACAGAGCATAATATACATTAAACCAAATATACCTAATATAATATTGTCGAGCTATAATAGTTACAATAACAATTAAAATAAAATAAAATACAATAGAACATTTAATTCAAAAAAAGAAACATGAACATTTATATTTTACGAGACGGATACTGACTTTGTAATCTGGTAGCTTTCTTTCTTACTTCAGTTACTGGCAAATCAAACACGTTTAAAAAAAATTTGAACTAAGTATTAAATATTAATATAATCATATGAGTTTTTACGTTTTCTTAACCCTGAATGTAATGAATCTATTATGATAAAATATGTGTTTATTTTAAATGATTCTCTAGCTTAAAATGATGTGTCGCATTGACATGATTCATCGTATGGTACTTATCTTTTCTTTTTCCTGGCAACTTCGCATTTTTTAATTTCAGATTTTTCCATACCTATTTTTTCATAGTATGAAAAAGTGTTTCTTAAATCTGTTACATAATGAATTAAAGATGTGTATAGGTTTATAACAATTTTTAAATCAATTTCAATAGCCTGTAATTTCTTGCATGGTACCATTAAATCTCTCTAAAATATCATTCCAAAATGAAACGAGAATACACATTTCTAAGATATTCATATTTTTTAATAATCCAGTTGATTGAAGTGATCACATTTTTACTTGGAATTTTCTATTGGATTTTCAAGAAAACTGTTCAACACTTTAAGAATTTATGTCCAGTTTTGAGAAAGACTTAAACAAGCTTCGTGCCTAGTTGCTCATCGAGTATCGGACAATCTTTTTACTGTTTTATTCTTGGATTTAGTCAGATAGTCACTCAATATTTCACAACGATATGTTACATGCAAAAAAAATTTGCGTAMAATTTGAAGAAAATTGAAAAATTCAATACCAAGTTCACAGCAACTAGCAGCATATTCTCCTTTAGTTTAATGAATTTYYCATAAAATAATATCCTTATGTATACAAATCATATCAAATTATCGCGGATAAAGTTATAGTTACAACTACAACCGCTATCGTGTTTTTAGTTTTATAAATAACCAATTTTTATTTTTGAAATTCCGCATTATTGGTTGAGTATTATTTATATAATGATTGAGACAGTAAGCACGAATAACGTATTATGTAACACTATTGACATTATTATTAACACTTTTTTGAATAAAAACTAGATGCCCCTTGAAATTTKATGCACGCGACGATTGCCCCCTCACCCCCCTAAATACGCCACTGGATATAGTTAAGAGGCATATCTGAACCATCGAACAAATCAAGTATAGGTACACCACTATATTATAATTCGTCATAATAAGTATATATAAATATACTTACACAAATGGCATTAAGAATTCTATCACAGCTTATCACTAAAAAATTTATCTCTATTTAGCATGATTACCTACTGGAATAAATTACCTCCAGCAATCAAACAAAACAATTTTTAAAAAGGCACTAAATCCCTTTTTCCAATCATGTCAAGACAAAAAGCGATCATCCCGATTTAGAATTTTGGACACACCCGTCATAGTTTCATCATATGCTCAKTGCCCACCTGATCAGTAAAGATCCACAACGTATGTGTGGTGTGTGATACATCTATATACCACATTGATCACACAGATAAATACATATATACAATTTTGTTAAATATAGCACAATAGAAACATAAAATACCATCGACTTGAATCACTCAGTAAAGRGCCAAGTGACACAAATTAAACAATTTCTAATCTATACTAAAACCATGAGCAAAATATACTATAATATCAATGAAAAACCTTCTTAAAATAATATCCATTTTTATTTTGTAAATGATAGATTTAAAAGAACAATAAGTGCTAAATAAAAAAACCATCAAGTTGACTTACCATTCAAGTAAGTTCAAGTTGTTGAACATAACAGAGTTGAAATAAGATATTAGGTGTGCACTCTGCTGTACAATACCTAGGTATAGGTATCTTCATTAAGTAATTATTGTAATGGATGTGTTACACTTGACAGTTGTTTTAACAATCTAAGGCAAATTTTTTTCCCATGTTGACTGGTTATCGTTTTAACTAACCTACTATACTTATTATATAGGAAACTTATCATATTTAATATGATATCTTATGTCTTATCCCTTATAATATATATATATATATATAATATCTTTGTAGAATCTACACATTCTTCGCCCTAATTAGAATCTTAAAAGTCATTTTTATTTTTATTTTGTGTTATTTTTAGAATAATGAACATTGTGTTTTCATGTTTTTTTTTTTTTTTTTTTTTGCAAGAGTTTATCGATTATATATAACCCAACTTCATAATTGTCGGTAAATATACAGAGTACGGATAACATTCCAGTTCACACAATCTATACCTTAAAATTATAAATATAATCAAATAATATTACTAATAAGTAAACTTATTTTTTTATTAGGCGCCTATACAAGATGATAATCTAACTTCCTTCATAGTGGTTCTGAGATAAGCCTTAATAACTCGTTTCAAACAAGAAAATATACGACTAATGCATGATGTATAATGTATATTATGTTATAAGATGTAGGTAGTTTAGTGCACATAATTCTGTGGTTATAGATTGGATGTTGCCGATGTTGGCATTAGTATATGTTCTAGATATATGATAATWGATATATGYAT